GTGACTATTCAGGAACAGAAAAATGTTTTTATTATCCAAATCAAAACACAGCATGAGGTACTTTCCAATAAAATCAACTGTAGATTATACACAAGTCAAAATCATCTGCCTGTTTACAGAGTTCAAAATCCTTCTAGGCACCAGGAAAAAAGTTTAAGATTTTAATCTTTCCATATATTACAGGGTTTCTGTAATGGATTTTGTGCATCTGAAACTAAAAGATTGACAGGTCTGGATATTATAGATTTATTAACCATTGGTTACATGGTCAGAGTTAGTGTGTGAAGCATTTCTACAATCCTCCTGAGGCTGCACTCGAGTGAACAATTTCTACAAAGCCTGAGGTAGACAAGAGTTAAGGTTACATTAAACAAGCGGAAGTTGTGTTTTATTTCACAGTGATCCTTTTCTAAGTATAAACATTATACACTGAGCATAAAAATACGATGTTGAACTCAAAGAAAAATATGACAAAATGCTGGGAAATTCAAAAGAAGTCTTAAACATTTACAAATGCAATCCTGCAGTGCACCGTTTTATCATTTTGAAAATGGGGCCCTTGGCACCCAGCAAAGGCTGGAGCAAATACATTTTAAAAATAAATAATTGAAGGCAAAAATAATTCTCCCAAAATAATCATCACTATTTATAGAATATTATACAGAGTCAGTGTATGCCACTTATATAAATTACCTCGTTTAATCTTTACAACCACCCAAATGTATGTACTACTATTGTCTCTATTTTACAGCTGCACTGAACAGAGACTCAGGGAGGAAAACTGACTTGTTTATGTCAGCTAACAGGTGGCACAATTGGGATACAAATCCTGGTTTTCTCTTTCATCTGACATCCGTTGTCTTAAAGGAAAGCTATCTTCAAATTAGCAATGGCAATTTATGTGTATAATAATGTTAAAATGACAAGTGATTGATAGGCCATGGAACTTCCTGATCACATGGCTAGGAAATCACCAATTTTGCTTATCATCTTGGACTTTCTCTTATTGTTCTTTGAGAATTTGGACCGTAGAAGACCCTGGTCCGAGTCTGAGAAATCTCTGGTTAATAGGCAAAATCCGGTCTCAGACTGGCTCTTTTCTGCCTCATTTTACTTGACGTCACAGAAGCACTATGGCACTACAAAGACGCCAAGGAGAAAGACGCTCTAAGATGGCAAGATAGCAATGCTACTCCATGCAAGTAGAAATTGATTCTGTAAAGAGATATGCAAGTTTGTACATTTTCCACAGCAGAAGATATGGGTTTTCTTCCCCTGAAATTAAGAATGGAGTTCAAGAAGATCTACGCTCCTAAGACTGAGGTAAGGATTATAGGGCTTTATGACACAGACTGGCACTAGAGATCATTCCTTTGTTTTAATTTAAAGGGCTGTGTATTCATTTTAAAAACAAAGGTGGATGGAATCATTTATATTTAATATCTTAGAGAGGCTTACATTTTTCTTTGCTTATAAAGCTCTTGATAAATTTTCTCCTGTGAATTTGACCAAATTAAGACCCTGTTTTTGCTTTTGATCTCAGATTATGACATCACAAGGATGTTAGTTTATGAGAACTTAAGTTTTATATATTAGGCCTCTTTGTTACCTTCTTGACTCTATTACCTGTTTGTTTGCTTGTTTAGTTTTTATTTTGATTCCAGTTAGTTAACACGGTGAGTTTCAGGTGTACGATATAGTGATTCAACAATTCCATACATCACCCAGTGCTCATCACAGCAAGTGTACTCCTTAATTCCCATCTCCTATTTAACCCATGCCCCCCACCTGCTCACCCTCTGGTAACCATCAGTTTATTGTCTGTAGTTAAGAGTCTGTTTCTTGGTTTGTCTCTCTTTTTGCTAGTTTGTTTTGTTTCTTAAATTCTACATATGAGTGAGAGCATATGGCATTTGTCTTTCTCTGACTTAATTCACTTAACATTATACTCTCTAGCTCCATCCATGTCATTGCAAATGGCAAGATTCATTCTTTTTTTACGGATGAATAATATTCCAATACATATATATACACATCTTCTTTATCCATTCATCAATTGATGGACACTTGGGCTGCTTCCGTATTTGATTATTGTAAATAATGCTGCTATATAAACATAGGGGCATATGTATTCCTTTGAATTAATGTGTTTTTTTAATTCTTTGGGTGAATACCCAGTAGTGTGAATGATCGATCATAGGGTAGTTCTATTTTTAACTTAAGGAAACTCCATACTGTTTTCCTCAGTGGCTGCACCAGTTTGCATTTCCACTAACAGTGCAAGAGGGTTCCCCTTTCTCCACATCCTCACCACCTGTTGTTTCTTGTGTTTTTGATTTTAGCCACTCTGACAGGTGTCAGATGATAGCTACATTGTAGTTTTGATTTGCATTTCTCTGATGCTCAATGATGAAGAGCATCTTTTCATGTGTCTGTTGGTCATCTGTATGTCTTCTTTGGAGAAATATCTGTTCATATCTTCTTCCCATTTTTTAATCGAATTATTTGTTTTTTGGGTGTTGGGTTTTATAAGTTCTTTATATATTTTGGACACTAACCTTTTATCAGATATAGAAGTTACTGCTTGTGCTCTCTTCTTGGATTTTTGACTCCAGATCTCACATTTAGGACTTTAATGCATTTTGAATTTATTTTTCTGTATGGTATAAGACAGTGGTCCAGTTCCATTCTTTGCTTGTTGCTGTCCAGTCTTCCCAACACCATTTGTTGAAGGGATTGTCTTTTTCCCATTGGATAGTCTTTCCTGCTTTGTCGAAGATTAATTGACCATATAATTGTGGTTTTTTTTTTTTTTCTGGGTTTTCGATTCTGTTCTATTGATCTATGTTCCAGTACCATACTGTTTTGATTACTACACCTTTGTAATGTAACTTGAAGACTGGAAATGTGATGCCTCCCGCTTTGACTATTCAGTCTTTGGTGGTTCCATACAAACTTTAGGATTGTTTCTTCTAGTTCTGTGAAAAATGCTGTTGGCATTTTGATAGGGATCGCTTTGAATGTGTAGAATTGCTTTGGATAGTATAGACATTTTAACACTATTTGTTCTTCCAATCCATGGGCATGGAGAGTTTTTCCATTTCTTTGTGTCATCTTCAACTTCTTTCACCACCGTTTTACAGTTTCCAGAATACAGGTCTTCTTTTCGGTTATGTTTATTCTTAGGTATCTTATTATTTTGGGTGCAATTGTAAATGGCATTGTTTTCTTTATTCCTCTGTCTGCTGCTTCATTATTGGTGCATAGAAATGCAACAGATTGCTGTACACTGATTTTGTATCTTGCAAACTTTACTGAATTCATTTTTCAGTTGTAGCAGTTTTTGGTGGAGTCTTTCAGGTTTTCTATATATAGTATCATGTCATCTGCAAATAATGAAAGCTTTACGTCTTCCTTAGAGATTTGGATGCCTTTTATTTCTTTTTGTTGTCTGACTGTTGTGGCCAGGACTTCCAGTATTATGTTGAATAAAAGTGGTGAGAGTGGACATCTTTGTCTTGTTCCTGACTTTAGGGGAAAAGCTCTCAGTTTTTCTCAAGTATGATGTTTGCTGTGGGTTTTTCATATATGGCCATTATTATGTTGAGGTATGTTTCCTCAATACCCACTTTGTTGAGGGTTTTTATCATGAATGGGTGTTGTACTTTTTCAAATGCTTTTTCTGCATCTATTGTAATGATCATATGGTGCTTATCCTTTCTCTTATTGATATGATATATCAATTTGGTTGATTTGTGAATATTGAATCACCCTTGCAACCCAGGAATAAATCCCACTTGATCGTGGTGAATGATTTTTTTTAATGTATTGTTGCATTTAGTTTGCTAGTATTTTGTTGAAGATTTTTGCATCTATGTTCATTAGAGATATTGGCCTGTAGTTCTCTTTTTTGTGGTGATTTTATCTGATTTTGGTGATGCTGGCCTCATAGAATGAATTTGGAAGTTTTCTTTCCTTTTCTATATTACCTACTTTGACTGAGATAATTGTTCAAGTAAATGAAAAATATATCTTTGCTAATTATTTTATGGAATGGATCTGCTGATGGCCAACATGGATGCTAGCCTATTGTTTTCAGTGCATGTTGAACTGTAGCTAAACTTATTCTGATGGAGATAATAGAAATTTGTGTCATTTTTATCTAAAAACTAGATATTAGAGATAAAATCCATTTGAAGTGAATTTAGCACCTTAATAGATTTTAAATTTTACTGAAACAGCATTTCCATACTTTCCTTATGTTAAAAGACAGAGCAAAGAGATTTTACTTTAATCCTTACTCCATGGTGTTAAGCAATCAGATTTGTACCTGAGGATGATGCTTACATCAAAATATAATAATGCACTAAACCATAAAAGTAACCCACTAGTGACTAAATGGTACAGTGGAGGTTATATAGCTTAGAGGGGCAAAATTCAACTACCATAACTGGCCACAATCTAATAGAAATGGATAGAGTAGACTCTTGTCTTTCTGAATCCTTATTCACTGCTATAATAAAGGCCGAATCATATAACATCAATGTTCCAATCTTGGGAGTCCTGCATAATGAATGTTTGAGGTCATTCAGATCTATATGACTTACCTGGGATGTATATGAATAAGAAGGCAGATTTTGGTACTTAAAAGAAAGAAAGTATTACTTTCAAAGAAAAGTATATATCTAGTTATCTATATATCTTTACCTACATATCTACATCTATATCTATATGTATATATCTAGTTATCTATATATCTTTATCTACATACCTACATCTGTATCTATATGTATATATGCATATACTTATATATGGTATAGACTCAGGAATGTGGTTTGGATTATTCTGTTTATATTTACTCAGGAGACAGGTTATGTCCTTCTGATTTACTAAATTCACATTTCCATCCTTTTCTCCAATTAGTTTTCTCTGAAATGTTTTGCATACAAATATGCACATGCGCACACGCGCGCACACACACACACATTTTATTTCTTTACCTGGTGGGGTCCAAGCTATGAATACGGAATAAGGCCCAATTGCTGTGATGTTATATGGAGGCTGGATTTCTTCTGGTGTCAGTGCAGGTGTTTGTACAATGTAATCATCACTAGGATTGCTGCCGCCTCCAGTTGTGGCTTCCAATGTATAAACGTATCTATATTGAAAAGAAAGGACTGTGATAAGGAAATGCACAAGAAACTTGAACAATGGTTGCTAGCTTTTCTCCCCATTGTTTAATCCTAATCTTATGACAAATTGCAAATTTTCTGCTCCCTGTTCAGAAACGTCTCTGTTGACTTGATAGTTTTTCCAGAACAGGCTTCATTCTCTCCAGACTGTCACTATTTCTGCCCCTTCCCACTTTATTTTTAACCCTCTCGTAATCAACAACTTTTCCTAAAGATTTCAGGAAAGTCTTAGAGTGTGCCAGTAGATTGTGAAGGATTCAAATTAATCTTCCCCATTTTTAAATGGGTTGGAGTTCAGGGAAATATCTTTAGAGAAAGATGTTTCTAAACTGATCTGCTACTCTCTACAATAAATCTGAATTGATCTCTACTCTGTGCAGTAAAACATCTGTTGATCTAAGATATATTTTGTTTCTGCTGAGATACGAATGGGAATGAATTGCAAATATGTGGAACTTTTTCCCCTTAAAACCACTCATACCTATATATAGTGTAGCAAGCAGAGAAAACATTGTATTAGAATGTATTAGAAGAAAAGTTAGTTGATGTAAAACAAAACTCTTTAAATCTTTTTTTATTGCTAGCTTCAGAATGCATGCTTTTGAAAATAATTTGATAATTTTTAAAGTTTAATACTTGGTGTATTTTATATACTTAAAAATTCTCATGCTCTTATGTCAAATAGAAGACTATTTACATTTTTAAAAAATGTCATGTACTCTGAAGACTAAAGTAATGAGTTAGCACTTGAGTCTTCAACATCTGAAATGAATTAAAAGATCTCATCAGCTATGGAATGGCTACTGAATGAGATTAATTAGCCAATTAATTTAATATTGTTTCATTTTGAGATGCACTTTTCAGCCCTGAAAAATTTAAAATTCTAACTATATGATTGGCAAAGTTTTATTTAAGTCCACCTGCTGTTGGGCTCCAGGTTTTTATCAGTGAAATTCTGCTCCTCACTGTCACCCAGGAAAACCAAGGTTCCATTACGACTCAACTGATACTGAGAAATGAGACCATTGGGCTTCTCTGGAGGACTCCAAAATAATTCCACTGTTGTAGAATTGATGATAATGTGTCGAGGTGTCACCCAAACTCCTGGCAAAAAATAACACAATGAGGTTTCATTGTTAGAATAAAATATTCACCTTATCAAAAGTCACACCATTACCTCACATATTATGATATTTTTATCTGTTGTTAAAAAAATCTCATGGTGAAACAACAAAAATACATTTTGCTTACTTTGGAGGTAAAAATATACAATTGGGTATAAATATATTTTTAATGTTTTGATTATTTTATTTGTGAATTGTCTTTAGAAAGTGAGTATCAGAAAATTTAGTGGTGGAAGATTTCTCTTTCTCCACTGTTACTCTGAGTTTAACCAAGGCCTGAAAGACTACCCAGGAATTTTAAACTTTGATGCCTATTTACTTGGACTATGTGCAAGTAATCATAAAGTAGTATTTACCTAAATTATCAAATTCAATGAATAGCATACTTTGCCTTTGCCTCTCTGACACAACGTGCCGTGCTTCTTTTCCTCTTTTCTCTCATTTACTGGCTTCTCTCCCCCTTCTGTATCTCAAAAATGGGCCTCAGAGACCTAGGCTCTCTCCTCTCCCTTAGTTTTCCCTCTTCTTTCTTCTCCTCTTGTTTTCCAACACTCACTTTCTAGGTGATCTTCAGTTAGTGTTAGTTTTAAGTATCATCTATATGTTGAACACTCCCATGCATATCTCTAAACTAAAACTCTCTCTTAAGCTTCAGACTCATGAACCCAACCGTCAATTTGACATCTCCATTTGGATGACTAATTAAGTATCAAAACTTAAAATATCTAAAACAGAACTCTTGGTTTTTCTGTTACAATCTATTCATCTCCTGATTTTGTCCATCTATTCATTTTCTTGGTCAAAACACACAAATATTATTCTTGAGGGTCCCACTTTTTTCACCCTCAAATGCAATGTCATAAAATCCTGCTTGTTCTACCCTGAATGTATATAGTTCTCTATACATTTACTGCCACCTATTCTGATCCAAGCTACGTTTTTCTCTCATGAACTTCTATCATAGCCTCTAAACTGGTCTCTGAGTTTTAAATCTTGCCCTTCTCTATTTCATGTAATCTTCATAAAAGAATATTAAGTATATACATAAGTCATTATAATCTTTGTAAAATATACAACCCTTTTGAAATTATTCATACAATTCCAATTCCTTATGATAACCTGAATAATCCTCCATTTTTTTCTGATTCTGGCCTACCTGGCTCCAGTCACACCAGACTCCTCTCTATCCCCAGAATGTTTCCAGTTTTTCTCACCTCTGAGCTTTTGCACTTCCATTCCTTCTGCCTGGAACTTTTGGTTATGACAACATGACATTTTTGCAATTTATTTTCATAGTTCAGTGACCTGTGTGAATATCATCTTAGCAGGGAGGTCTTATTTGACCAACTTTCTCTAATGATAACTTTAACCTTATCTAAAGTGATTCCAACCTAGTTACTCTCTATCCTAGGTCCTTTTCTATTTTCCCTCAGTACTAACAACATCATAATAAATTTTTCTTGATATTATCATTATTTCTATGTTATCACTGCATGGTCTGCTTCCTTCTCCTGCTTCAATATAAAGTTAGTTTCATGAAGCAAGAATCTTCTCTGTCTTATTTGTCAAGGTATCTTTATGCATAGATAGTACAATGCCTAATTGATATTGAATAAATCAATTTATTATAAATACATCCTGCAAATTACTATGTAAGCACTGTATGCAGTTCTAGAGAATGTAAGTATGAGTGAGATATGGCTCGTTCCTACAAGGAGTTTACTCTTCTGCGTAAAAGTTAAAATAAATACACAGACAACTGTCATTCAAGGTCAAACATTCAAGTACTCTTATAGATGTACAAACGTATAGATGGGGAACCTAGGCAATGAGGAAGATCAATCCTACCATTTCATGTTATCATCTAGGTATGCTCTGAATGGACACTGTTAACTCTCTTCAGCTTTTAAAAACTCATGCAATATTAGGTTCCCTGTAATCAATAGTTTTTGGTTGATTTTATCTCTAGTGTAAGTTATTCAGTAAAGGATAAGATTTCAACACTTTTAAAAGAAAAATTTTCACGACATTCAAATGCAATTTATTTAGGAACATCCTGAAAGAATCAATATAGATTTTTAAAACAGCTCAAACATGCTGATTTTTAAAGGAATAGCTTATTCCTAAGAAGAAAGTAGTTCATTTTGTTCTGAAATAGATACGTGGACAATCCACAAATCATAGTATACTTTATGTTTGGGTTTCTCGGCCAATAGTTGCTAGATGAGTCAACCAACTAATTAGAGTTCTGATTCAAACATGATATTAATTTGTTGATTTAAGAGATAAAGTACAAGGTTTAGTTCATAGTCTGTTTCCTGCAGTCCTTTTTCATCTTTAAGGATGTATTAAAAATCACTAGGGTGCCAGAAAGGCTGTGGATATAGAGGAGTGAATGAAATAACATGAATTAAGATTTTGGGTTTGTTTCATGTTTTAAATAAAAATTGAGTTTATATTTATGCAAGCTGGTGAAAGCTCTGGTTGTGTTGGTAACAACCCCGTATCCATTGGGTTGGAAATAAGAGGAAATTGAAATGTGTAAAAAATACTAAATGCTATGGTTTTACTTGTATAATGATATGGGGACACCGTTATGTTAACAGTTGCAAGAAATCTTTGATGGAATAAGAACCACTTTTGGTGAAATGTCTTAAAGAATCCCAGGTAGAGAATCTGCTTCCCTCTGTGAGCCTAAGTCTCAGGCGGCATCAGAAAAACCTATCCTACATAGTAGAAGGGCCGAGTTGAAACAATTCAAGGAAAGGAAATGGATGGTCATGAGGGAAATCATCTCTAAAGGGAGCAGGGAAGAGGTAAACTAGCTGAGAGATATAAGAAGGAAAGGTCAGAAGGAAACCTTGGTGTTAGGTCTTTTGCAATAATAGCTACCAAAAAACCCCCATATCTATTAGATCTGTTTTAAATTTGTTTTGAGTGCCATGCAATATTATCCACTTCTCATTTCTCTACAAATCTTCATTCCAATTTAAAAATACCAATATTTATTGTGGATTGGCTTTCTTTTGGAAGCTAGTAAAGGAACCCAGTTTTGTATTGGCTGATGTCCTGGATGCCTTGACTTCTGGACTATTATGATTTGTAAATTTATCCAACATTCCACCCAATTTTGTGTCATTTTCTGTGTCAGGCACTGTGGATATGGGGATAAGGACATATAGTCTTTACCCTTCAAGGAGCTCATAGTATTAGGGTGAATAAAGATGAACAAATAAAAATTTATAATCCAGTTTGCTAAATGCTTTAGGAAGCATAGTGCTTTGGAGCACTTAGGAAGGGTATCAACAGAGACTGGGAGTAACATGGGGATGGATGGGAAGCAGAGGTGGTCATTGGAGATTTCTAGAAGGGGAGACATGTGAGCCAAATTTTTTAAAAAATGGGTTAGCTGAGTGAGGATGTAGGAAAGAGATCTAAACTGAGGGGAACCCACAAAAGTCCTTGAAATACAGGAAAGTATGGTAGAATTCCAAGTACCTCAGCCTGACTGGTGCATTGGATGGCATCTGGGAAAGACCAAAGACTCAACAGATAGGCAGAGGTTAAAATTTGAGGGATTATTTTGCTTTATTCAGATGTGGATTTTTTTTTTCCTGGAAGGAAGTGGGATTTTATGGAGGTGACTAATGTGAAGTATGTCTATTTTGGCACAAGGGGGAAAATAATTAATATGAGAAAGAGGAGAAATGACTAGAGGCAGGAAGAGTAATTATGAGAAGTTAAAGGCATCTGAACTAAGTCAAAGCCAGAAGGGATGCAAAGGAAATACACGTTAAAAAAATCCTTAGATTTATTAATTTAAATTTTAAATTTAAAAATTTATTAAGATTTAATAAAAATTAATAAAACATTAAAAATTTATTAAAAATTAACATTAATTAATTTAAAGTTAATTAATTACAATCAATAAGATTTTATGAAGAACTGCACATTACAACCTAAAAAAAGAGAGACGCAGTAAGAAGGTCCATTTTGGGCTGATGAGGTGGATGATGGTACTTGAAGGAGGGAAAAGGGAAGAAAAGAAAGCTAGGAAGTGAGGAGAGAGATTTTAAGTGTTGAAATACTGAGGTTGAAGTATTTGCAAAACACCTAAATAAAAACATCTATAGATCGGTGGATACACAGGCCTTAAATCTATGTGTGGGCTTTGTGAGAGCTGAGGACTTTAGAAGCTTATACTTGAGAATTCCAAGGGATACCGTGGAGTTACAAGTGCAAAGAGTAGAGGAAGAATCTAAAGGAACATCAACAGTTTAAAAAAGGTCAGTGGAAGGGGGGGAATTGGAGGGGGAGTCGAACCATGGGAGACTATGGACTCTCAGAAACAAACTGGGGGTTCTGGAGAGGAGGGGGGTGGAGGAATGGGTTGGCCTGGTGATAGGTATTAAAGAGGGCACATTCTGCATGGAGCACTGGGTGTTATACGCAGATGATGAATCATGGAACACTGCATCAAAAACTAATGATGTAATGTATGGTGATTAACATAACATAATAAAAAAAAGAATTATAAAAAATAAGACTGTTCGTGCTACCTTCTTTTTTGTTGTTTTAAAATAAATGACAATAAATACAAAAAAAAAAAAAAGGTCAGCAGAAGAGAGATCTGGAACGCAATTGAGAAAGTTTCATCTTCTTTTCCTTTTTTTCCCCCATGTTATCAATGCTGGAGGTAAGCATGCCTGCAATTTTGCACGACCGAACTCTAAAATTAAGTAGAGCTTGCTGGTATGCCATCACTTCTAAAAAGAGAGAACAAAAATCCAGCTTGAACTCTTCCTATTTGACTGAAGGTACACAATTTTCTGTGAGGATAAAATTGTAGAGAATTATGTCCAACTTATAATGAGGTAGTAATGCACATTAGCTTTTCTGTTTTTGTTTTGTTTTGTTTTTTTAAGATTGAAAATGAGAGAGGAATGAGAGAGGAATTCAGGGTGGCTATGAACCAATGCTTCTTTTCATTCTCTCCGTATCTGCTTAGGAAACTCAAGTGTTAGACCTTCAAACTATGTCAGATTCACTCAAATAGGCGTTTTGTAATTAGTTATATTTGTGCTATTAATTTAACATGAGATGATATGCTTATTTCCACTTTACAGTAAAACAACAGAACTTAATATTGCTGTTGATCTGTTCTCCTACAACCCCCAAGTTAAGTACTCAGACTACATTTATTTCACATACAAGTTATTCGCAAATGGCACTTATACAGTCAGAAAATGGATTCTAAATCCATGTTTCTTCTGCTGATGAAAGCCCATGTGGTTTGTTATTCCTGTGCACAGTTATTTGTGTTAAAGGAAAGGTGCATAAGGTTAAAAAAGGAAATCAGGTAAAACATTTCTCATCGCACACTCCCCTGTGTTGTTGGAAGCTAAAATATTTAAGTCATGAAATCTGAGTTCTTTCAAGAATTTTTTGGGGGGGAAAAGTGGGAAAATAGATGCATATTTTCTAAGAATTTAAATGGATTTGATGAGTACACTGAAGCAAGAGACCCTGTTATTTTACCTGGTTTGAGTTGCAGCCAAAACTGGTTGATAGATCCTTTAGAAATTATCCATTATCATCAAAGTATCCATTTGATAGTTTACCTTTCCAAAAAATCCACTGCTGGTTTCTTCCTTTCAAAGGAACACTAAGCTTTTTGACATGAAACATTCTTTATATAGAAAACATCATTAGTGAAATCCTGGTGAGGAGCCATATGCCCCATATGTGGAATTTTCCATTTTATTTCCCATTTACTAGTAGGAAGTTCAGGTCTAATATTCTGAGGTACAACAATCCCTTTCATTAGAAGAGTAATGGACAAGCAGTTCAGGACTCACCAATGGTAATTAACATCATATTTCTGTTTAGAAACTCATGTATGCCTCTGTTTCCCCCACATTTAAAACAGGCAGATAATAAAGATGAGCAAAATATTTAGTTGATCACTATCCCAAGCTTCTAAGCCTATCTTTCTTCTAAAAGTAAATGATAACACCCACCCCAGTTCCCAACCCACTGGTAACCATTGTTATGTGTGTATGCTTCCAGAATTTTTTCTATATTTTTATTTATCTATAGAAATAAATATAATTTTCTATGCATTTTTTATACATAAAAGATACCATGCATTAATGTAGTTCTAAATTTCATCTTCATATGTTTAGATTGTCTCATTCTTTTAAACTGAGGTATGGAATTTCATAATGTGAATATACCTGAATTTATTTAGCAATTCTCCTATGAATAGACTTTTAAATTGCTTCCAATATTTTTCCATTACATAAAAAACAAAAATGCTTCAATAAATATTCTGGTATGTGTCTCTTGTACATTTGTGGAAGTGGGATTTTCTGGCATAGATAATGAATGTGAAACTACTGTGTCATAGAAAGTTAACGTTTTAAATTTAATAAACATTGCCAATTTGCCTTCCAAAGTGATGATCCCACTTTATATCCCCTCAACCTGTGTTGGATTCTGCATCTCCCCGAGTGTTTATTTGTCAAAATTCTTGTTCTTCATGGTCCATCTCAGAACTCACTTGCTCCATCAAATCTTTTTTGATTTTCATGATGAGCTATAATCTCTCCTTCTTCAGATTAACCTGAGTATTCTGTTCATTTTTTTAAATTGATGTATGATTAACATACAATGTTATATTAGTTTCATGTGTACAACATATTGATTTGGCGATTCTATACATTACTCAATGATAAGTGGGGTCACCATCTGTCACCATACATTATTACAAAATTATTGACCATTTGTTCTTTCTTAACATCACCTTTCAGATTCTCTCTCTCTTTTTTAAAGATTTTATTTATTTATTTATTTATTTGAGAGGGGGGAAGGGCAGAGGGAGAGAGAGAATCCCAAGTAGACTTTGCACTGAGCATGGAGCCCAACGTGGGCCTCGATCTCATGACCCTGAGATCAAAACCCTGAGATTATGACCCGAGCTGAAATCAAGACTCCAGTGCTTAACCTACTGAACCACGCAGGTGCCCTGATTCTCTCTCCTTATGTAAGTTTGGGTACTTGTCCTGTGTCTTTGACTTGATGGTAAGTTCTTCATGGTAGGGAATAAGTCAACTTCAGCAGAGAGCACGTCCTTGTTATATATCAGGCAATCCAGAAATATTTAACTTTTGATTTTTTGAGGAATTTTATATCCTAGTACATAATAACTTTTTTCACAGAAAACTAAATTTAAGAGGTTTAAACAATTGAAAGCAAATTTTATGTTGGGAAGCTTACAGTTGAACCAAACCTGAAGAATGGGAATCTAGAATACAATTTTATTTTGTACCTGTTGACTTTATTCCTTCTTTGTTTGACATGAAAGGGTTTATAGAATTCACTTCAAAATGCCATATGAAAACTTCTTCTCCCAAATCATGGATGTTTTTTAATTACCTTCAGGGGCTGCCTGCAGTGTCTGACCTAGAAAAGGCTCACTTGAAGTGCATCCAGCAGAGGTACAAGCTGTAAGTGTGAAGCTGTAGTTGGTGTATGGCTGGAGACCTAGAAAGAGCAAACAAGAAATAAAGTACATCTTGAGAGGATTATTTATTATCAATTCAGCACTGGAAGTAACATGCAGAGTTATAGATATGATTTCCAAAAATTTTAAAAGCAGAAAACACTCTTGAATGGAGATAGGAACTTCACAAGCAGCTTGGTATAAATAGAAACTTCATTTATCATTAATAAAGTAATAAATTCTCAGCCTTAGAAGAAATCTTAAAATTCATGCAATCCATCCACCCATCCATCTTTCTCCTGATTCTCTTGTACAAGAGGTCATTGAAAGACTGCCTTGCCTAGGCAATCAGAGTACTCATCTCTCAAAGAACCCGTTCCTTCCTTAGAGAGCTCTAGAGTTCTCCTTATTTTGTTTGAAAGTCCTTCCTTATATTGTGGTGAATTCTTTCCATCACTTGCACCCCTAGGGACATATAAAACAAATCTAATTTCTTTTCCACATGACAGTTCTTCAAATATTTGTAGACAGTTATCAAATCCCCCCTGAGTCTTCTCTTCTCCAGGCTAACCATCCCAGCTTCTGCAACTGCTTCTTATATGACTAGGGGTGGAAAAAATAAAAAGAAGGTTAGATTCAACATTTTTTTAGCCCCAAGCCATATTCAGTTTATATTCACACCAACCATTTCTTTTTTTAACTTTGCACTTCTTCTCCATGTATGCCCATAGAGTACCATCTCACACTTAACTTCTGTAGTTTTTTGGGGGGTATGTTGGTTTTGTCTTTACATATTGATTAAACATAATTTGATGAAGGGATAGTGTTTATTGTATTCAGAATATGACACAGCCCAATAACTGCTCAATAAGTTCTCAGGAAAAATAAGAATGGCAATCCATTTACAGTAGAAGTTGTATGTGGTTAGACTTCACTATTCCATCGTCGGTGACCTTGGGCAAGTTACTTAGCTTCTCTTTGCCTTGATCTTCTGATCTATAAAAATGGGAAATATAGCAGCTAGCTTTCAAGGCTTTTGCAAAGATGAAATGGGTTACTTAGAGAAGTACTTTCTTTGAGCAGAAGCAACCTTAAAACTCAGCAGCATTCGACAAGGAGTCTACAGAGACTAACATTTTTTGCCTTGATTCTTGGGAAAATTCAAACAATGCCAAAGCTCAAAAATTTTCCTTTCCTTAAATAATAAGACTTAGTCTATATGTTAAATAATTAGGCTAAGTGATAACATGGATCTAATAATTATTATATTAATTTTTCTTGAATTCTGAACTACATTTTTACATATATTGTTCTTCTGGTGGCATGACTTTTTCCAGAGACATTCATGTATCACTCTGCAGCTTTCTGTAGATTTTTGCTCAAATGCTACATTTTAAAAGATTTTGACCACTCTATCTACACACTACACCCAGCACTTGTTATTCCCTCAAATCACTTTCTTCTTCATAGCCCTCAACATTATCTGATGTTATATTATGTCTGTTTATTCATTGTTTGTCTCCCCCTCTAGGATGTAAGCTCTAAAAGAGCACTAAAGGATCTATATCTAAAAGATACCACTGTATCCTTCAAATAATGACAGGCACAAAGTAGGTGCTTGTTAAATGAGTGAAAAAATTAATTAATTGGTTCATTTAGAATTAGAGTAATAGTCTGGGTTCTCTGCTAAAGCAATAATGTTCTGCAGCTGGAGCTGCTTCAGGATTCGGCTTCAAAGCCCTTTGTGTTTCCTTATCAATTTAGTGATAAGATGCAGATACTTATTTGATTGTAATCTTCCATTTGGTGGCTATGGGAGATTTACATAATTTTGATATTTACCTGATTTATAGATAAGAAATATGATGAAAGATCTAAGCCATACCCAAGCCATGTATGTTTGATAAAAGCTTATGGGAAAATGCTAAAGATTATAAAATATAGAGCTCTAAAGAAAAAGGGAGGAATCGTCTAAGAATGAAGGTCAGAGACTGCAGTGGCAGGCTGATTTAGTCTGACAATACTCCCTCTTTACTCTTGCCACTGAAAAAGGGGGTCTAGACCCTAGTAACACCATTTCATCTGAATAGCTTACTTTCTCACTTAGAATGTAAGCCCTTTGAGAGTAAGGTTTATGTCTTTGAGGGTTTTTTTTTTTTCATCATTTTTTCCCTGTAGTGCCTATTGTAGGTGTTTGATGTTTGTTAAATACCATTTAAAGAACACAAAGCCTGGGGCTCCTGGGTGGCTCAGTTGTTAAGCGGCTGCCTTCAGCTCAGGTCATGATCCAGGGGTCCTGGGATCGAGCCCCACATCAGGCTCCCTGCTTTGCGGGAAGCCTGCTTCTCCCGCTCCCACTCCCCCTGCTTGTAGTCCTCTCTTGCTGTGTCTCTCTCTGTCAAAAAATAAATCAAATCAAAAAAAAAAAAAGAACACAAAGCCCATACAAGGGCTCCATAAAGATGTCAGGCTAAGACATGACGTCCAGTCAAAGTGTGATCTGACCAAACGGCCCTTCCTCATAATTCCATGGGTATCTCTGCCCACAACATCTATTCATTATGTAAGCAATTCTATTCTAGTTGCAGAACATTATTAAAATAATACAAGAATTAATGGAATGTGTAAACAATAAATATTTTCTAGATTTTGTCTGAATGCCAGACTTAAGTATGACTGGTAAAAGTGAAGCAATGCTTGATCTTTCTCTGGAATTTTCTTATCAAACAAAAACAAACAACCCCGCTCTCCCCAAATGAGGCCCAATTCTCCTCTTCATTTTGTGTTCTAACTAGTCTGATTCAGGCAAGCGGTGACTATCAAAGAATATTTTAGGATGCATTTTAGAAAGAGTAGATAAAATTTGTCATCACAGAGGTGTTCTAAGGTTGATGAGAGGTTTGAGGGTGTTTGCAATGAAGATAGCAGCTAAAAAGAAAATTAATGTATATGAAAATAGAAATTGTCCTTTCCTTACAAAATATTTCTGAAGCAAGTTGAGTGGTATCCATTTTACATATAGCCCAGAACACTAGAAGACAGCTGTTTAGAAATGACACAACTGTGGAGTAGCTAGCTCATTAGGAATTTTTGATAGATTAAGGAAGGTGTGCCAGAGGAGTCTGTTACAGGTGTTTAAATTGGATGGTGTGGGTTGGCCTTGCAGAGCATGGGGCCAGGTCTAATGGAGGAATATTCATATTTTGAAGCTACTAGAGTACCAGAATCAGGGAGGAAGGATGTAGAACTTAGTACTGGGTAGAGAGCCTCATTTGGGAAGCCAGGGGAATTCAAAGACATCACCAATCAAGAGGAATGGATGTGACAAAAATGGAAGAACAAGAAAGACAAGAGTGGGAGGCATGAGGCCTTAAGTGAAGGACGGAAGGACAAATGGACTTAATCTAATTCATGGGCAGTTCATCCTCAAGGACTGTGTCTGGCCCTGAAATATGGGTACGGTGGCCAATTTAAAGGCCATATGTAACAAAGGTAGACATATTCATCTCATTTCGACTCACATTTGCCAGTTGGTGTCATACAACTCCACATCTGCCAAGTTGACCTTCCGGAGTCCGCTCATACTTCCTTTTATATCAGAGCTCCAGTTTTCTTTGTGGAAACCAGTCTTTTGGTTACTAACAGGCTTTATGCTTTGTTTGGGATTGACTCCACCTGGACTGACTACTGCTGGACACAGTTCCACATTCGTCTTGCAATGTTAGCTGATCAGGATTGAGTCTGCGACCTCACTTAGGCTAACGGAATGTAGGCCTTGAACATGAACTTCCATTCTTACTGCTGGTAGTTCTTTGTTCACCACATAGTGCCTGAGAATGGAGGACAACTCAGAGGTAAAAAGAAATTGGGTCTTGGAACTGGGGAGGGTATGTGCTCTGGTAAGCGCTGTGAATTGTGCCAGACTGTTGAATCTCAGATCTGTACCTCTGAAACAAATAATGTAATATATGTTAAGAAAAAAAAAAAAA